GCCACCTTAGGTGTATGTGGCCGGCGCCTTAGCCGCTTGAGCCACAGGTGCCGAGCCTGAGCAGCTTTTTTAGAGGTAGAACTAGACCTGAAAGTTTCCAGTCCCTCTCTGATGCTCTGTCAGACAGGCCTGCCAAGAGCTATGCTCCAGAGCTGGGGAGACCCAAGGCAGAGTATAGGGATTATAGCAATGACTGGAGCCCCAGTGATACAGTGCGATGCCTCCAGAGGGGCAAGGTCTGCTCACTAGAAGGATCCCGCTCCTTATAGGACAAGCTACAACTCCTGGAAGAGGCAGTAAGCATGCATGATGGAAACATCATTACTGCAGTTCTGATTTTCTTGAAAAGGACACTGTGCAAAGAGATCCTCTTCCGAGAGCTGGAAGTGCGACAGGTTGCCCTGAGACATTTCATTCACTTCCTTAAGGAAATAGGGGATCAAAAGCTGCTTTTAGACCTCTTGAGATTCCTAGATAGAACAGAAGAACTTGTGCTATCCCATTATCGAGAGCATTTGAACATTCAGGACCCTGAGAAACGAAAGGAATTTCTTAAGACCTGCATTAGTTTACCATTTTCAGCAGAAGATTCTGCACACATCCAAGACCATTATACACTCCCGGAACGTCAGATCATTATTGAGGCAAATGATCGACATTTAGAATCAGCAGGACAGACTGAGATCTTCCGAAAGCACCCGCTCAAAGCTTCCATCCTCAACATGCCACTGGTGACAACGCTTTTCTATTCCTGCTTCTATCACTACACGGAGGCTGAGGGAACATTCAGCAGTCTCATCAACTTGAAGAAGACATTTAAGATTCCAGACAAACAGTATGTACTGACAGCCCTGGCTGCTCATGCCAAGCTTCAAGCCTGGAATGATGTAGATGCCCTCTTCACCACAAAGAACTGGCTAGGCTATACCAAGAAGAGAGCACCCATTGGCTTCCATTGGGTTGCGGACATTTTGCACAAGAACAGTGCCCCTGTCCAGATACTACAGGAATATGTGAATCTAGTAGAAGATGTGGACACAAAGTTGAACTTAGCCACTAAGTTCAAATGCCATGATGTCTTCATTGATACCTGCCGGGACCTGAAGGATTGTCAGCAGTTGCTAGCATACAGGAGTAAGGTGGATAAAGGATCCGCGGAGGAAGAGAAGGTTGACGCCCTTCTCAGCAGCTCGCAAATTTGATGGAAGAATTAAGTGGCATTAGCTACCCTGAAACCTGCCTCACTTTTTCTTTTCCTGCCTGTGAAAGTGATGAGACCTCTTTTGGGAGAGCAGTATTACATCACTTAGGCTGATTATCAATAGGCACTGCCTGCCTGCATCTTTTGACAGAAGCCAGCACTTAGGCATGGATAGATCAGACTAATCTTCCTTCCACAAGATTTAAAGGCCAAGATCTAAAGCTTTGACTTATGAGAATGATTCTCTCCACCTGGTGCTCATGTGAAGGTGGGAGTGATTTCTAGATGGGCCCATAGTGGGTGAAATCTTTTTTGGTCTGAGAAAAGTCACTGCTCCAGAAAGGAACTCTCTTAAACTGTGAGGTACAGGTGTAATATGATGGCCAGTCCATTCCACTCATCTAATTATGATCCAGGACATGGTGCTGGACCTTGGCAGTTCTGCTGTGAATGAAGTCAGAACAGAACCAAAATGGCTGTCTTCCAGGGGCTTCAGAAAGCAGTCCAGTGTTGCCCAAGACCTGTTTGAGACACACACCAGATTGCACAGAATCCTCTACACCATGACAGACATTTCCCAGAGATTGTGTTTCTTCAGCTAGTATCCCTCTGCTGCCCCAGTTTACTCTGTGTCCAAAAACTTAGGGTTCCTCTCTCACCTGCACTTTCCTCAACTTCTATGCCAGACTCATACCCTCATACAGGGCTTGGATGGAGCAATGCTGGAGAGCTCTCTCTTCCTTTATTCAAAATCTCATTATTTCCAGACGTTTCACCTGGGCTAAACTCAGTAGCGCTTCTGTTAGGCTATTTAGATAGTGGTTTTATTTTCACACTTATTTTTTGAGAGGATATTCTATAATGCTGTATTCTTGCCCTGTGCCATTATTTACCTCTCTTCTCTGTCTGAACTGGGTCTTCCTGACATGCCTAGACTCCTAATAAAGCTGTTTCTTCCTTGGTTAAAAAAAAAAAAGAAAGAAAATTAGATGATTTAAAAAATATGTATATATATGTGTGTGTGTGTGTGTGTGTGTGTATAATAGAAAGATGGGTTTGCAGAGTTTTGCTTTTGATAAAATTTTAGAAGACTACTGGAATTATCAGTTAATGATTATAAACTATAGCCATTTTTGGTAATAAGTTGATTTATGATTTTTTTCTTTTGAGACAGGGTCTTGTTCTGTTGTCCAGGTGGGTGTGCAATGGCAAAATGATAGTTCTCAAATTCCAGACTCCAGGGCTCAAGCAATCCTACTTCAGCCTCCCTAGTAGCTAGGACTATAGGTGCATGACACTTCACAGGGCTAACTTTTTTTTAAATTTTCTGCAGAGACAGGGTCTTCCTTTGTTGCTTAGGCTGGTCATGAATGTCTGGCCTCAGCAGGTGATCCTCCTGCCCTGGGCTCCCAGAGTGCTGGGATTACAGATGTGAGCCACTGTCAACCCAGTGGTATATGATTCTTGATATACAACCAGGCAAAAACTGAGGGATGCAACAACACTTCTATTCCTATTTACTTATTTGGATGAGATTTCTCAGCACTTACAGATTTTTTTTTAAGGAAAATATGGAAGAAAATCAGTGTTGAACCTTGTCTGTAGTAGCAAGAAGTTAAGATTCGACTATTACATACAGAACCTAAAGAGGCATGGGGAGCCTACCAAGAACTTTAAGAGATGAATTTCCAATACAATTTTACTTTTTATATTTTATGAGTATCAAATTGTGATGTATTTTGATCCATTGTTTAACACTATTAATTTTAATAATTCAATCCAGAAAAAGATCCTTAAGGTTCTAAGATCTGGAAATATAAATAAATTTCCCTTTATGTACTTCTTTCAGAGCAGTGTGATAGGGTGATCAGTTAAGACTTTCAAGCATGAAAAAGACAGTCTTGGGATAAAATTATATCAGAAAAGTGGGATGGAGATAATGGTTTCAAGGAGAAAAAGTAATGATGTAAACTTTCTGGTTCTTAGGAGTTTTGTGTCTTTTTGATAACAATGGGAGTATTATATCACTGTCATACTTTGAGTCCATTGGATAGGTTTTACTTGTGTCAATGTTTACAATTGCAGAAAACTACATCCTTTTTGACTATTTAAAATACATGATGGAACATCTGACAGCCTGATATGCAAACAGACTGGGGATAGAAGGTGCCTGGATGGCCGCAGCCCATTTCTTTAGGGGACCCAGGGGAAGGTGGAAGCCCACCCGTTGTGGCCAAGATAGTAGGGAAAGGTTCCAGTCTCATGTCCACCTCTTGGCTGTATTTGAGGCCCTACACAACACTCTTCCTGTTTTGGTTTTGGGAGACAACAGCCTTGCTGGGTTGTTGTGAAGAACAGACTGTACGGGAGGCGTGTGGTAAGCAGTAAACAAGATGTGGGCTGTACTGTGGAGTGTTAATAAGATGACCAGATTTTAACATTGGTAAAGCGGGACACCATGGGGGGGCGGGGCCTGACAACAATGCAAACTTTGATAAGCAGTTCTTGATAATCACTTCTCAACAATTATTTGTTATTATTAAAGTTTAACATTATAAAATTAACAAAAATAGTATAAAACGCATATCCTGGTGAAATAGCCACATGGCAGCCGAAAACCTTATATTCCCTTTCCTGTTCTCCGGCGCTCTAGCTTGTCATTCATTCTTTCCAAAAATCGGGGCTTTTTTAAAACGCCACAGAACACAGGACAAATTGTCAAAAATCAGGACTGTCCCTCCAAAAGCAGGACTTCTAGTCACCTTACTCTAGGGGGCGGGGTGGGGGTGGGGTGGGGGGGCTACTTGTTTGTTGCAGACAGTTTGGCTCCTTCTGAGCTAATTGTCCTTGCCTAGAAGCAAGGGAGGGAGCCAGTCTCCTCCTGATACCTGCCCAGGAGGGGAGTAGGGAGTTTACATTAGCCTTTTCATTTCCAAAAGAAGTTACTGTAACGTCTTAATTCCCAAATGGAGTTACAGTAACCTTTTCAGCAGCCCGTATATTCCCTTTCCATTCTCCCACTGTTCCCTAGCTTGTCATGCATTCTTTCCAAAAATCAGGACTTTTTAAAAACACCACCGGACCCGAGACAAATTGTTAAAAATCGGGACATCTGGTCACCTTAGTGTTAAACCAAAGGAGCCCTGACCTAAGGCGGCGAGAGGTGGGTGACCGGGAGCGGTGCGCCCGGCTCCGGGCTTCCAACCTCAATTCCGGGCGGACGGTGTGGGTGGATCCTCCGGCCTCTAGGCCCACCTTGCGCCACCTTGCGCGTCTCCGCCCCTGCAGGGAACCGCGCGCGGCCCGCAGTGCCAGGGAACAGGTACGCTGCGGCCGGCCGCCTTCGCTCGGGGCCTGAGCTGCCCTAGCGCTCCGGGAGCTACGGGAAGAAGGGACTGGAGCCCAAAGGGGTGGCAGGAAGGGTAGGAAGCTTAGACAAACCGCCAGGCGTCCCGGCCGCGTGGGTCTCCATGGCAACGCTGAGCAAGCTGGGCTCCTGGGCGGGCCAGAGCTCTGCCACCCACCGCAGGCCGCCCCTCGGAGTGGCCTAAGGGAGAAGGATTGTTCCCAGATCCCCCGGTGCCACCTGTGTGGGAGGATGGGAAGCTCTAAGTTTCCAGGTTGGTTTCCTTGGGCCTGGACTCTGCATTCGGCTCCCTCCAGGCGGGGTTCCCGGTGCGCGGCCTTCTCTGGCTGCGGGCGGGTTCCCAGCCGCCTATGACCCAGTGGTACCCACTTCCTACTCTGGCAGGAAATTACTGGCAAACAGCCTGCCTGCTTACCCATTTTTTTAAAAAATCTGCATTATGCCTCAACTTAACAAAGCCTATGTTTCAGTCTGCAAATGCGCGGCACCACCACGCTCGAAGTAGTCAAGTAACCAGGTGGCGGCTCCTGGACAGAGTCGCCCGAACGTGGAGACAGCAAATGCAGACGGTTAGCTCTGCGGTGTCGGGACAGGGAAGTCAGTGGAGGACGTGATTTTCCCAAACAGCGAGCAATGCTAGGTAAAGTTATAAAGTAAAGCAGAGTGCAATCAAGCCTTGATTTACATGTAGTTGCATTTCTAGAAAAATTCAGTGTTATTTAAAACTGTGCTAAAAATACTTGTATTTAGATGTAGAGTTTGATTCTGGCTCTAGATAATTATAAACGGATTTTCCATGCCCATGAATGCACAGAAAGACTTTCCAAGGTTGTAGGGCCGCGGAATGATCCTTTATTGTGTGCGATTATCACTCGCAGAATCTTAGCATCCCAGGCCCCAGCCACCTCTAAATGCCACCTGGTTCTGGGGAGAAGAAACCCCTCCCATATATTTCCAAAATGTCCCCTAGGGGGCAGTGCCTCCCCACTGAGAGGCGGAACAGGGAAACCACAGTAATACTAGAGACGTGCCAAGCGCGGGAAATACACTTCATTCTCAGAAAAAAACTTGCAAAACAGGTACTGTTATTTCCATTTTTAAAATTAGGACAGTGAGGTTTTACAAGGCTAAGTGACTTGTCCAAAATCACAATATTGCAATATACAAAAGCTGAGATGTAGCTCTTGTCTGACTTGGAGTCCGCCAAAAAGCTCGGTCTCACTACCTGAGGCCACAGGAAAGTTATTTGAATACTCAGAATCTCTTTCTTGATGAGGCTGGAAAATGTAGCAAAGTGGATTCTTGTACACTCTAGTCATCGATTTTATGACTTAGCCTTTATAAGAAATGTGTGGTGAATTTCCGTTACTCCAGTTTCAGGAAATTCCTTGCATTGGCGACCATGGATAACTATGATGTGCTAAAGGCCGTTGGGAAGGTGCCTTTTGGAAAGTTTACTTGGCTACAGGGAAATCTGATAGCAAGCTCTGTGTCATAAAAGAGATCGATTTTGCAAAGGTTAAGTTAAGAAATTCAAATTCCTGTTATTTGTCAGGAAAGTCAGCTGGCTTTTAATCCAATATGAAAAGAAAATATTTTTGTCCTTTTGAATTTTAAACCTCAGTTGATTTTTGTTCACTCAGCCTTCTACATCGGCTGTCTTCGTGGTTCCTGTGGCGCTCTGCAGG